CCCCCCGGATTTCCCAAGCCAGAAGACACTTCAGAGGTGTGAGTTCACTCTGACAAAGGTTTAGTTCCTCCAGAGATGACCAAATCATCTTCATGGTGAGGGCTTCTTCCATGAGGGGACGGGAAAAAGAAAGAAGACTTGTGTCCAGGACATGTCTTTTTATAAGCCCTTAGTGTCCATTTTTCATGAAGCTATGGTGTTTAGAACTGGAGGGAATTGGGCTCTGGTCCCTGAAAGTGCTAGTCACTCTGGGTAGGTTTACTGTTTGTGAGACCTGGTGTCTGTGTGTATCTGTGTGTGTATGTGTGTGTCTATATGTGTCTGTATGTGTATGTGTCTGTGTGTGTGTATGTGTGTGTCTCTCTGTGTGTGTCTGTGTCTCTGTGTGTGTGTGTATGTGTATGTGTGTGTCTGTGTGTGTCTCTGTGTGTGTGTGTCTGTGTGTGTCTCTGTGTGTGTGTATGTGTGTGTCTGTGTGTGTCTCTGTATGTGTGTGTGTCTCTGTGTGTGTGTATGTCTGTGTGTATGTGTTTGTGTATGTGTATGTGTGTGTCTGTGTGTGTCTGTGTGTGTCTCTGTATGTGTGTGTGTCTCTGTGTGTGTGTATGTCTGTGTGTATGTGTTTGTGTATGTGTATGTGTGTGTGTGTGTGTGTCTGTGTGTGTGTATGTGTGTGTGTGTGTGTGTGTCTGTGTGTGTCTCTGTATGTGTGTGTCTCTGTGTGTGTGTATGTCTGTGTGTCTGTGTGTATGTGTTTGTGTGTGTGTGTGTCTCTGTGTGTGTGTCTGTGTGTGTGTGGCTGTGTGTGTGTGTCTGTGTGTGTCTCTGTGTGTGTGTATGTGTGTCTATGTGTCTGTGTGTGTGTATGTGTGTGTCTGTGTGTGTCTGTGTGTGTGTATGTCTGTGTGTGTCTGTGTGTGTGTCTGTGTCTGTGTGTGTGTCTGTGTGTGTGTATGTGTTTGTGTATGTGTGTGTATGTGTGTGTATGTGTGTGTGTCTCTGTGTGTGTCTGTGTGTGTCTCTGTGTTAGAGGCTTTGCTGACTACTTTTGTGTTTAGGCTTCATTCTAAATGGACAGGAGAACTCAGGCCCTACAGAATCACTTTCTTTAGCCTAGGTGGTGGTTACAATTACTTCCTGGTCTCTCGCCATCTGCCTGTAAAGAAGCATCATAGACCTCTCCCTTTGGTCCTTGAAGACTGGAAGGTGGTGGGCCAGAAACTTTTAGCCAATTCATGTTCTAGGGAATGATTTTCTTAATGTATTTGGAACTGCAAATGCATGTGTATATAAAGGAGGAAAAACATAAAAAGAAAAGAAAATCCCTCAAATTCAACTTTCTTTGTGTGGGTATATGTGTGTCTATGTGATATGCTTAACCGGTTAGAGAAGACATACCATAAGCCTTTGTGATTCTAGGCAATAGCTTGTTTTAGATTTGTGTTTACTTGACAGTATAAAGTCCAAATCCTGGTCACATGAATCAAGAATATCTTTATATATTTGCTCCCAGCTGATTTTGCCAACAGTTTTCAATCTTTTTTTTCTCTAGGTTTAGTGACCAAGGCAGATATTTCTAGTCTCCCTTTGGAGACTATAGGTCTAAGGAGATCTTGGCTAGAGTTTGTACAAACCTTTCTATGTTCACAAATCCTTAGCAATATTTCAACACCCCCAAACATCCCCTCTTATCTCTCCACATTACAAATAATTATACTGTTCTAATATGCGTTATGAAACATCTAACTGCACTGACATGTCCCTCTTATAATCCTGTTATTAAAAATGAATGGAATTTTGTTAATGCATAGCTTCTTTCCTGGTTTGAAAAGAAATTAAACTTTTGCAAATGTCCACTTGTTAGCACATTTTCTTGGTTATATTCTAGCCCAAAACATTACAGAGATTGCTAAAATGTTCCAAGAGATTACAGGCACACTAGCTCCTTGAGAAATGCTGCGTTGGTCATCATACTACCAAAACAATCACCATCCAGATTTTCAAAGACTTCAAGTTGGTCTTGCTTTCCTTTCTCCACTTTGTGATTTATAACAGAGTGGAGCTTTACCTAGTTTTATTTCAAATGGGAGCTTTTAAATACAGAAAGCCAGAGGCTGGTTGCCAAAGGAATTGGATACTTAAGTGTAAAAATTTTTAAGTCCTCTTTTCTTACTAACTTTGAATTGAGATGAATGTAATACACATCAATTTGTGTTTTCTTCTAAGTAGAAAATTCATTGGCACAAAAATCAACCTATAAGCACATTGTCTGCATATAGGACACAGGTGTAACTGGCTCAATTAATATTGCTATTCTGTTTAAGTCGTGAGTGACGAGCATATTACCTAAAGAAATGCTTCAAGTGTCTCAAGGTTGGAGTTCTTACAATGGTCTTGGCTTGGGGAAAATGCCCAAGTATGTTTTGGCTCAAAGGTGTCTCTCCAGAAATCTACTGTGGCAAGTGACATATGACGACTATAGTAATATTGTTGCTGTCACTTTGGCGGGGGGAGCCCACTGAATTTAGCGTCTGTTTACAGATGGTCTGGCATCTCCTCCAACCCTCTTACCACCCTTTATGGCAAAGGATGGCTGTTGATTGTCTCCTGACTTCGTGTCTTAAGCACTCCCTCCTGGCTGGGTAAACCCCTCTCCTGCCCCCTAGCGGAGGGTTTGACAGTCCACCAGCAGCCAGGACAAGCTGCGGTTATTTATTGATCACCCGCTGTATGTCAAGTACTGTGGAGAAAGCGGAAGCGTGTCCAGGTCCGGGCAGAGCCCACTGCCACGCAGGGCCTTTGTAACGTGATTTAGGGTTGAGCAGATAGGCTAGCTTTGAGTGCCTGTGTGGCTCCTCACCTGGGGGCCCCTTCAGACCCCTCATCTCACCCACGTTGCACTTGGAGCCCTACTGGGTGCATCTCTGGCCGTCAGAAGCTCCTAGCTGCAGCCAGTTTGAGATGGAGAGGCTGGCTGCCCCTTGCTGGGCCCGGTTATAATTTGCGTCCTCTTGTATAGAGCTGTCCAGTTTGACCTGTAGTTACACCAATCCTGGATCAGCATTGTCAGGCCGCGGTTCCACCACAGTGTTTGAACAGCCCCATTTTGTGCAGTGGCAGACACAACAAAACCCAAGTTTCCTCTGTGACTTTGTTCTTTTGATTTTTGATAGATCAAAGACGTGGAGGGAGGAAGGGAAAGCAGAGGAGGGGGAAAGAGAGGGTGTGGGGATTGTTGTCGTGTCAAGATACAGCACCCATTTGGGGCCATTCGCCCCATTAGAAGGGAAAAGTGCACGGACAAGGGCGAGAAACCTGCACTCCGCGCGGCATTGTTCCGGGGATCCGAGCTGCGGCGGCCGCCGCCGCCATACAGTACAGTCTCCATGGCAACGCAACCTGCTGCTGCCGCCGCCAAAGTTGAAGGCGCTTGAAAGGGCTTGAAGAGACCAGAATCACAACCCTATTTCGGTTCCGCGGGAACAACGGGGTGAAAATGAAGCAGAGAAAGAAAGGAGGAGGAAAGGAAGAAGGAGAGAAAGAGGGGAGAGGGAGAGAGAGGGAAACAGAGGGAGAGAGAGGATATGAATGAATGAGGGAGGGGAAGAGAGAATATGAGAGAGGCGAAGGGGGGAAGGCCAAGAGAAACCCCACCCCAGGCCAGTGAATGCTGGCATTGTCTCTTCTTTTTGGATCTGATTTACCATATCATAACCCCCAGGAAGAAGAAAACATCAATATCCCGAAGGAATGGAGATGTTTCTATGGAAAACCTAGGAATTTTAGTCCATAACAGATCTTGTGTAAAAAAATCAAAGAGATCAAAGGCAGAGCTCCCAGGAGTATAGATGCGTCTGTGAATTAAAGATGGACGATGCAGACTACAAAGTACTTTTTTCTTCTTTATTCGGTCCTCTGTTTCCATTTCAAGGGAGGCGCTGGCCTCATCATATCTGAACTAGACCATCACTGTGAACAATGTCACAAGGGGGAATAAAAGGGGGACTGGGGCACCAGGGACTTGGCTCCCCCTGCCCCAGCCTGGTTTCCAACCAGTGGGTCTCCAGGGGGTCTCACGGCGCTGTCAGCCCTGCACTCAAAGAAGGAGCTCCTGGCAGAAACCCACCCTCACCCTCAATCCTACAGGGGCGCTTAGGGAAAAGCGAGAGCTCCTGGAATTAGGGGAAGAGAAGTTGTGTTGGGCTGGCTTCTCACATCGCCCTTAAGCTCAGGACAGGCAAAGTCGCGGTGTGCAGTTCTGGGGTGCGGAGGCACAGCAGGGTCTTTAGGCCAAGATGTGGACTCGGGGTGGGCATAGGACGTCCTGGGTCTGGGGGTTTTGCGGCACCCCAACAGTTGTCCTTGCAATGTGGATTACTGGCAGCTCTTCCAAGAGGGGCTGGCCAAAGGAGAGACTTTGAGGGGGCAGTTCAGTGAGGTGCCTCCCACCAGTGTGACCCTACGGACCATAGCGCACCAGGCTCCTCTGTCGGCGGGATTCCCCAGGCAAGAATACTGAAGTGGGTTGCCATGCTCTCCTCCAGGGGCTCTTCCCAACCCAGGGATCGAACCTGGGTCTCTCAAGTCTCCTGCATTGGCTGGCGGGCTCTTTACCAATAGTGCCATGCCGGGGAAGCCCCACCTCCCACCTTACATCCCCTCAATTTGCACGTCTAGGAAGCAAATTCTAAATGTTTTTCAGATACTGTTTGCAGGATAGGATAGCGGACTTAGGCTTTTTAAGTCTAAGGCAAGTTGCAAAGTCAGGGATGGGGATTCCAGGGTGATTCGGTGGACGAGCATGGAAGGAATGGACCAGCAGCAGTCCTAGATGGATGACTTGTCCGCGTGCACAGACAGAATCTCCTGGCCTAGACTGCAGGGGCGGGGGGGGGGGGGGGCGAGAGAGAGAGCGCGCGCGCTCTGAGAAGGGTTGCTCCGTCCGCCCAGCGGCTCGTGGGCTTGCTGTGAGGTTTCTTCCGGACCTTGTGGCTGAGAAATTAAAACAGTAGATTTTCAGGAAGCTGGAGACTCTCCGCCTCCTCTGGAAAAATAATCAGCCGGACGGCTTGGACGCGTGTGTGGGGAGCCAACCCTCCGGAGGCGGCAGGCCTTTGCCCCACGAGTCTCCCCTTCGATGTCTCCAAAGCCAACGCCAGCAGACGAATACTGGAGAAGTCAATGAAGCCGTTTGCAAACACGCGCGGGCCGGCGCGGACCCGCCGGAGTCGGGGCGGCCGGAGGGGAGAAAGCCGGTTCGCATCTGCACCCGCCGGCGGCGGCCCCGGGGTCAGGCCCGACGCTAAGGCCAAGGGGCCCCTGTGTACCGGCCGCCGCTGTCCAGACGCGCATTGTCTGGCCGGGACCGGAGACTCCGCTGCTCCGGCGCCAACTCTGTGCACAAAAGCACGCCGGACAGGCTGCACACACCACCTCCCACCTCCCCCGAGGCCGCCAGGGCTTGTCTTAGGTCTCTTCTTAAGCAGCGCAGCCTCTCTGGATGCTTTTTCTTCTCCTTAAGTAATTGAGCACGGGTGCAAAAAATCCAGAACTTGGGGAGAGAATGGGACGGGGGAGGGGGAGAGAATCGGGGAAAGACCCCCTCCCTTCCCGAGAATAGGGGTGAGAAGGACTTTATTACAGAACAAAAGAATAGGAGGTTGGAAATGCCAATAAACAGGAAAGCTAGAATGGTCTTGTTAAACGGGATCTTTGGCTTCCCTGGAGGCTCAGACGGTGCAGGAGACCCGATTGGACCCCTGAGTCAAGACCATCCCCTGGAGAAGGGGGCGGCAGCCCGCTGAGTATTCTTGCCTGGGGAACCCCATGGACAGAGGAGCCCGGCAGGCTACAGTCCACGGGGTCACAAAGAGTAGGACTCAGTCGTGTCTGAAAGACTTTCACTGGTTTCTCCCGAGTTGTCTGCCTTGGAGAAGCTGGTGTAGGGGCTGGAGGACAGACTCGGGGCAGGGGAAGGGACCAGAGCAGTGCCTTTCCTGAGCTGCGTGACAGGTGTGCTGATCTTGGATTCTCTGCGGAGGGGCTGACAGAAATGCCCGGAAGCTGCAGTCCCCTCGGGTGACACTTTGTAGGCCTAAATTTCCCCAAAGGATGAAAATTTAAAAATTCATGCTTTCTCCCCACAACACCTGCTCTTTCCTCATCCAACAAGTATGGGCAGGGTGCCGGAAGCACTCAGATGGGTAATGGACTCCAGGGTTTCAGACTGGTTTTGCCTGGTTCAGGTTCTCCCAGAACTCCAGGGCAACTTCAGCCTGGGCTGCTGAGCCCAAGTTTACTAGGGTTAAATGGCTTTTCCCTCCCCCGGCCCAGAGCCTGGAGCAAGAGGGGTGCAGGTTAAATTCATAGCACCTGATTAAGTCAAGAGATGGCTCCTGAGATGAGGCTTCTTACAGCTTCCAGACCCACCTCCACCCAGACAAGCTCTTCAGACTCTGTGCTTCCCAGTTCAGAGGGACCTGTGGGAAGCACTTCTTTGAAGTTAAGTTCTGATGGGTCAAGTCCAAGACCTGTCAAATGTCTGAGACCTGCTTTTGTGGCCCTCACTGAATCCAAAGTCTACCAAGTGGTTCAGATTTTCAGAGAGACCAGCTTGAGTTACCTCAAATGACAGGGTGCCTAAAGTCCAGAGCTGTGGCTAGTGACACTTGCCAGTCACTTGCCTTCTTGCTCTGGGGGAAAAAAAAAAGAAAGAAAGAATTGGCTGTTCTTTTCTTGGTGCTTGGTGCTAACTTCCTCATCATCCCTTTTCTCTATTTTGAGGGAAAAAAAAAAAAAACAACACCAAAACATTAAATTCCATTTTGAATAATGACTGCCTCCCAGACATTGGAGAATAAGACTTCCTCTGGCTTAGGTGGCTTCTGTCTTATTTCTTTTATCCAACCAACTCCTAGATTGAGGAAGCTGGAAGCAAAAATCATACCAAAAAATCTAAGCACTGTCAGTTGCTGCTGAAATAAACTTTAGTGCCTGGCCGAATAAAACCTTTGACTCTTGAGTTTCAAGGACTCAAGCTTCTTCTGTATCTCTCTCAATGCTCAAGAATTTGGATTGTTTTTAGCCTTTTTTTTTTCTTTTTAACAATCAAGAGACTGGCAGAGCTGAGGGCCAAAGTTCTGAGAAGCATAAGCTACAAAGTTTCTGACATACAAGTGTGTGTGTGTGGGTGGGTGGTGTGGGGTGTCCCAGCCCATCCAAGCTGAATTGTCAAAGTTTAATTAACACGAAGAATGGATGAGTTTTAAGCATTCTGACATCGGCTCTAATTGCTTTTGTGCGTGCTTTTATGTGTGTGAAAGGTTTGCTGGTGGTGGGGTGGGGTGGGACCTCAGTCCAACCTCCAGGTTCCAGGAAGTTTGTCTTCCTGTTTGCCTAGCCAGGAAAACTGTGGGAATTAAATGGGAACTTCTGAATGAACGCGGGCGTCATGGCCAGATGCAGCAAGAGCATGTTTTCTCCTCAGTGAGTGCGGGCCCGGTGGACAGATGGCCAGGGGACCGCGGGCCTCCCAGTACGGTCAGGTGTGTACAAGTTTTCCAGCAGCCCTCTTCCCTGGACACTTACTTGCAACTTGCAGGATTTTGTGTGTGTGTGTGTGTGTGTGTGTGTGTGTGTGTGTGTGTGTTTGCATTTGTTTGGTGAGACACTTCCCAAGGAGAAATCCGATGGCAAATCGTTGCTCAGGCGGTGGTCCAAATTCTTCAAATAGCTGGCGCTCGGGGGCGCGCGGGGGCAGAGAGACTGGCAGCCCCGCCAGGCGACCCCAGCCTCAACTTTCCAAACTGCGCCTGTTCCCTGCGTTGGATGCGAGCCTGCCCTGCTCGCGGCACTCCCCTATGAACTGGAAAGGATGTGGGAAAATATTGGGTAACTCTGCCACATTCCCAACAAATAAACAGGGTAATTAAAATGACACAGATGCTGGTGTTGGACTTCGCGGCTTCTATGATCATTAAGGCCAGAGACTTAAAAAAAAAACAGCTTAATTAAGGCTAATGACGGCGCTCTTCTTCTCCTGAATAGTTGGCAGGTTAAGCCAATTAGACACATTCATCAAATTCTTTCCACCAAGTTTTGATAGACATTAGGATATATTCTCAATTATGCGCAGAAACTCGCAGACTTCTGATCGCTTAGCGGCCGCGCAGCGGGGAGGCGTCCCGACCCACGTTAGCGAAGAGCGTTCCTTCCGTCGGGTCCCAGGAGGCCGTTTGCGCCGGGGGCGTGGGTTCAAGCATGGATTTTTCTAGGGTAGCACTAGTCCCTTTCCTGCCCAACTTCTTTTAATAGTTTCTTAAAATTAACGAATTTTCCGTTCTCAAAGTCGCTCCGAGTGGTCAAGATTCCGACTTGCGGGAGCGTTTGGCAAAATCGAACTCTTCTTGGCGCAGAATAGCGCCTAGCGAAGGCCAGAATTAAGAATCCGGAGACTGGAAATCGAGTAATAGGAAACCCGGTACTACTCCCCCTTTTGCACTTGCCCCGGGATCTGCTGCGGAGGCCAGGAGAGGTGTCTCTAAGGGACTCAGATCTTGGGGGGCGGGGGCAGGAGCCGCAGGGGGAGGTGAGTCTGGGGCGCGCTCCCGCCCCAGTAGTGAGCACCTCCGCGACCTGGCCTGGCCAGGTCTGCCCGCCTGGGCATGATGTGATCGACTGATCCTCTCGGGTAGATTTAAGACTTCTTTACCTCAAGATGAAAGTTGGATCCAGCCTAGCCTAGCAGAGAGAGCTGTGCAAGTTGAACTTTTAGGCAGTTTTCCTGTGGCTTATGCTGTCCTGGCTTCCTCTCAAGTAGAAGTTCCCTGTGTTGGCTCAGACCCCATGCAGCCTGCTATTTGATCGAGGACTTCCCTTCCTTTGTCCCTGTAGTGATAGACATCTGGACAAGCGTGAGTTTGTGGGGAAGAAAGAGAAGATTCTGTGTGCTAGGCTCCATCTCTGGCGTGCCAGTTGCTCAGTTGTGTCCCACTCTTTGCGACTCCGTGGAATGTGGCTTGCTAGGCTCCTCTGTCCGTGGAATTCTCCAGGCAAGAACACTGGAGTGGGTAACCATTCCCTTCTTCATTCAACAGGAGAAAATGGGGCCTCAAAGCCAATCCTAGTGACTAATACACATCATCTAACATGTGCCCATAGGTGTAATATTTTTATGCATAAATATATATATTTGCATTTTTATATAGATATTCATATATTTATCTCACCTAAGGCAGAACACCATCTTGATGTATATTAACATACTTTCACTTTCTTTTCATATATTACAAGAGTGCATTAAATGAGGTGTATGTGTATTACATGGTGTGTGTTATATATTAGGATTTATATGTATAGATGGTGATACATATTATAGTAGATGTGTATTGCCATTTGTATATTAAGAGATGATAAAATTGCACACAGGGACTGACATTATTAGGAAGCATATTATAAATTAGGTGATCTTTATATATACTAAAGCTGGAGACACACAGATTTGTTTTTAGAGTGTGTTTTACAATTTTGCATGATGGAGAGGATGTCTTTGAGCTCTAACCCTAGCTGGCAGAGACCACACTAAGCATCTTCTTTGTCATGCCATTTCTAACTTCCTGCATCACTTCCACTATCTTGCTATAAATAAGAAAATCATAAAAATAGGTAGACTAACAAAACACTCCAACTTTCTCTCCACCGGGCCCCCTCGCCTCAAAGCTAGTTTCCTTGGGTTTTGAGTTTGCTTCAAATGTTCCCTCTGCATGTCAAGTTTCAAAGGACCAAATTCCATGGCTCTGAGGCCTGGGACAAGGCGAGTTGAGCAAAGGGCGTGCCTCAGCCTGACTCCTGACACCAGGAAATACGGTAGCTGATCAGCAGGAATAATATTTAAGGTGAGGGCCACCTTAGACTGTTGGGCATGAGAGCACAGTTCCTAGATGAATATACGTAAATATTCTTAAGTCAGCGGTTCTTGAGAGTCTGTGACACCAGCTTGCAAGTGAAGATGGGAGCAGGGGACTGGAAAGTTTGCAGAGCTTCGATTTGCAAGAAGAAAAACTTTTTGAACTCTTCACGCAGATGGTGCCAATTCGCCTGTAATCATTTTCTAGCTCCTCCGGAAGCTGCTCTCTAAGCGAAGACCCAAAGTAAATAAATACCCGCTTCCCGGCTCAAAGTCGTGCCTTTAAAGGGAACACCGTCGGTCTAATTACGCTTGAATTATGCAAGCAGCTCGGCGAAGGATGGAACTTTAGACAAATAATTGCGCCATTGTGTGCGGCCGGCCGGTCCGCGCGGCCTCCCTCTAGTTTTCATCACTCCACGCTCCGAAGGCGGCGGGTCTCGCAGCCACCTGAAAACCGCCGCCGGGGGCCGAGCCAGAGACTCCTGCCTAATTAACCTAGTTTTCCACCCGGTGGATGTCAAGATTTCAGAAGAAGGGTTGGCGGAGGAAAGAGAGGGACACCGGGGTTTTCCCCTACCTCCTTCCCTGGAGTCGAAGCAAAGTTGCCT